CGCCTGGCCTCAAAAGTTTAATTATAATGTGTCTTGGTGTGACTCCCTCTTAAATATTTAATTTGATTTTTTTATTTATTTTGAGATGGAGTCTTGCTCTGTCACCCAGGCTGGAGTGCAGTGGCACTATCTTGGCTCACTGCAACCTCCACCTACTGGTGATTCTTCTGCCTCAGCCTCCTGAGTAGCTGGGACTACAGGCACGTGTCTCCACACCTGGCTAATTTTCGTATTTTTAGTAAAGATGGGGTTTCACCACGTTGTCCAAGGTGGGCCTGAACTCCTGACCTCAGGTGATGTACCCACCTCAGCCTCCCAAAGTGCTGGGATTACAGGTGTCAGCAGCTGCATCCGGCCAATTGAATTTAATTTTTGAGATAGGGTCTTACTCTGCCACCTAGGCTGGGGTGCAGTGGCACAATCATAGCTCACTGCAGGTTCAACCTCCTGGGCTCAAGCGGTCCTCTCACCTCAGCTTCCCAAGTAGCTGGGACTATACGTGTGTGCCATCTACATCTGGCTATTTTTTGTAGAAACAAGGTCTCACTATGTTGCCCAAGCTGGTCTCAAACTCTTCAGCTCAGGTGATTCTTCTTTTGCCTCAGCCTCCCAAAAGCATGAGCCACTACACCCACCTGATTCTTTGGAAACAGACTCGCACTTTACCATCCAGGCTATAGTGCAGTGGCGTTGACAGGTGGCAACGTGCAAGCAGCCCTCGCTCTCGGCGCCTCCGCAGCCTGGGCGTCCACTCTAGCAGCGCTTGAGGAGCCCTTCAGCCCACCACGGCACTGTGGAAGCCCCTCCCTGGGCTGGCCGAGGCCGGAACCGCCTCCCTCTGCTTGCGGGGAGGTGTGGAGGGAGAAGCGCTGGCGGGAATCGGGGCTGCGCGCGGCGCTCCTGGGCCAGCGCGAGTTCCGACGAGCGCGAGCCCCGCACACGGAGCGGCCGGCTGGGGTCTGTCTCTTATACACATCTAGATGTGTATAAGAGACAGGCACACAGCTCCGCTTATAATCCTTCTGTAGAATCCACTAGGTGAAGATAGCTGGGCTTCTAAGTCTGATGGGGAGTTGGGGAACTTTTATGTCTAGCTAAGGGATTGTAAACGCACCAATCAACACTCTGTGTCTAGCTCAGGGTTTGTAAATGCACCAATCAGCACTCTGTCAAAATGGACCAATCAGCTCTCTGTAAAATGGGCCAATCAGCTCTCTGTAAAATGGACCAATCAGCACTCTGTGAAATGGACCAATCAGCAGGATGTGGGTGGGGCCAGATAAGGGAATAAAAGCACGCTGGCCACACCAGGCGGCAGTGAGTTGCTTGGGTCTTCTCGGGTGGTGGAGAGCGGTTGGTTTTTTGTTTTTTTGTGTGTGTTTGTTTTTATTTTTCTTTGCTTTGCGGTGAATTTTTGTTGCTGTTAACTGTAGCTGCTGCTACCTTTTTGGGTTAAGACTGCGTGTATGAGTCGTGACACCGCAAAAGTGTGCGGCTTCATTTTTGAAGTCAGTGACAACACGACCCCCTGCTGGGAAGAATGAATAATTCCAGAGGCGCTGCTTTTGAGAGCTGTAACACTAGGGAGGTCTGTAGCTTTACTCTGGTCAGCGAGACCAAGAAGCTCCAGACCCATGTGAACGTCTGAAGGAAGAAACTCCGGACTACCATCTTTAAGAACTGTATCACTCGTTGGAAGGGTCTGTGGCTCCCGTTTTGAAGTCAGCGAGACTAAGAACCCACCAATTCTGGACATAGAAGGATCATAGTCATAGTTTGCTGTAGCATTGAACTCTTGGGCTCAAGTGATCGTCCTACCTCAGCCTCCCAAGTAACTAGGATTACAGGTATGCACCACAATGCACACTTAATTTTTTATTTGCTTTCTTAGAGATGGGATTTTGTCATATTGCCTAGGCTTGTCTCACACTCCTGGGTTCAAGCTGTCCTCGTGCTTTGGCATGCCAAAGTACTGGGATTACAGGCATGAGATACTGCATTTGGGTATTTTTGAATTCATCTTACATGAAGTTCGTTCAGCTTGCATGTTTCTTTTCATTTCTGTCATCAAATTTGAGAGGTTTATGGACACTAGTTCTTAAAATATTCTCCCTGTTATACGCTTCTTTCTGTTCTCTTTCTGTGATTCCCACAATGCCTGTGTTGGTCTACTTGATGGTATTTCAAGATCTCTTAAG